CATCTAAAAGACTTAACATTTCATTACCAGCCACTCGCATCTATTAGCATATCGGCTATTGGCATAGGATATTCATCTTTAGGAGTGGCTAAATTCAAGTCTCGATAATCAATACACACTCTTATTTTACCATTCTTTTTAATCACAGGTACAATATTAGAAATCCAATCGACATACCTGGCAGCTTCGATGAATTTTGCCTTCAGGAGTCTCTCGACTTCTTCCTTGATCTTGTTCATCACCTCGGTGCAAATCTCCTTGGTGCTTGTTTTACCGGTTTTCTTCCTTCGATGATGGGTAATCTATGCTCGACAAGATTTCGATCCAATCCAGGCATTTCTTCATATTCCCAAGCGAAGCAGCTCTTTATATTCTTTTAACAAGGAGATCATTCCTTTCTTTAAATCTTCCTCGAGATATTTGCCGATATACGTAGGCTTTTGTTCTTCTTCACTTCCTAAGTTAACTTCTTCTAATGGATCCCGAGCCTCAACTTTTTTATAATTTGATGTAATAGATTTTTCGAAACCTAAAGGCGAATAATCGTAAATACAATCAAGTATAACTTGATCGCTATTATTTGCAACTACTGGCCGAATAAATCGACTTACTACTTTCTTGGCTCTTCTTCCCATCTTCATATTTTCCCAATCGAGCCAAGAATTCTTCATAATTTCTATTCATCTTCACCGGCCACTTCGAGGTTGGCCCCCTCCTTGATCATAACAAAACCCTTTTCCTCATTCATCTTAAGGAAACGATCTTCATGTAACTTTGAGTTGAAATCTTCGACAGTTTCGAAGGTGAATGGTCGAACGAGTGCTAAGTTCTGTGTAGCGCGACCAGCCTCGGGATAGGAAAGTTACAAACTCGTGCCGGTCCCCTGGATAATTTCGAGATGTCCATCTCGATTCCACATAAATAGTTTCTGATGAGCCGTCGAAGGTACAGCTCCCACTCCATGGATCCATTCTCTACCAAGTAGTGCATTAAAGTCGGCGTGCGATTGGACCACAACAAATACAAGAGGCCTTGAGTAAGTACCTACCTTCACGTCTAACGCGATCATACCCTCTGATCCTCGATGTTTTTCCGCTGAAATCGGAAATCATAATGTTGTGTTTGACTAAATCTTTAAGCTCGATGCCAAACCTCTTCAAGCATGGAGATCGGCAATATGTTTATCGCCGCGCCACCATCGATAAGGACCTTGTTCACCATTTGTCCTTGGATCTCGATGTTTAATAGTAAAGGCTTCAAGTGGAACCTCATTTCTTCGGATGGAGGATCGATGAAGGCAAGATCTCTATGAGGTATTTCGCATGATGCCCGAGTTACCCATGTCACCTTTGGCCTTATGTTTTCTCGAATAGAAGTCATCTTCTCGATTAGCATCACTCGTTCCTCGATATTCCTTGTATTCGTTGACATATTCCGCTGGTAATATCGATATTACTCCGATTTGATGTTCGCTCCAGCTTGCCTTCATTCTTATCATCGAAGAATTCCCTTGAATATTGGCTTTCCATAGGTACAATATTCTCTTCAAAGTTTCTATAATTACTCCAAGAAGGGATCCTTCCTCCTCTTCTCCAAGGCCTTCCTCGAATCTTCTGGGAATGTTGGGAATCCAAGTGTTTGACCCTTCATCATATGATAGTCTCTCAAAGACATCATTACTTTGAAGTCTTCCTCTTCCTCCTCGAGAAGGATACATCTCTCTTCTAACCCATTGCCTTTGATTCCCGCTAACACCGTAACCAACAGATTTCCGTTGACTTTCTTCGATAGTTGGTCGGGCCGTTTGCTCCACTTTATCATTTTTCCTTTTGTTTAGACTCTCGATCTTCTTTGTTTGTTCAATTTTGAAAGCTTTGGCAGCTGATTTATCGAAAACCGCACCGCACCGTGGGCATAGCGACACGTCTTCGTCTTTCTCTTTCTTCCTATTCAAAAATTCAACGAGGGAGTCTCCCGCTCGAGGATATATCTCTTTCTCAAATTCTTTTTCGAATTCGCTCAAGTCGAACTCCATATCTTCCTCTCGATACGTCCATTCTCGTATGCTTGGGATCGATGTCTTCGCAACATCGACCATGCCTATGAAGGTGGTATTCATCGCCTAACGTCATTCTTCATCTCAGCTTGGGATTCAACATATCCCACTTGGACTTCGAACCGACTCGTGTCCACTTTCATCGATGTCTCTCCAAACTTCAGCCTTCCTTGGTCGATTGCATCTTGAATCGTGTTCCCGAAATGTATACAATTGTTAGTCCAAATGTCCATAAATATTATGAAATTTACAATATTTTCGACCACCCCTTTGTTCTCGTAGTATGCGCTTGTGATCTTCGCTTAACTTAATCTGTTTATCTTTTAGTAGAATGTCGAAGATCTTATCTCGCTTTTGTTACATCGAAAGTATAGGTTCTGGTTTGCCATTTTATCTTTCACTTCATTCTTTTGCAACAATTTACAAATATATGGAGCTCCTACTTTGAGCTCGCTATATTCACTTTCTCATCAACATTTTCCTCGATATCGCTTCGTCGAGGGATCTACTTCATACACATCATTTATATAGGCTATTCTTTCTTTTTTCATAGGTTTCTCAAATTTCTTGTGCCTTTGCTTTTCATATTCGATTTGTTCTACTCTCCTCACTTTATCGCCTAACCGAGCCATGTCATTTAATGGCAAATTTACCAACTTTTTCCTAATCGAAAATTCTAAACCTCAGTAAGCCATCCCGACTAATTCATATTCGTGAATTTGAGTAAAACATCTTGATTTCATTTGTCTAAATCGATTCGTATAATCATCTATGTTTTCATGATTATATCGTTTTATGTTCATCAAATCAATGAGACTTACTTGAGTTTCTCCTCTAAAGAATTGTTCATGGAAATTTCTTTCTAACTCGCAACCAATTATATATCGAATTGGGCAGCAATGAAGTAAACCAAGTGAAAGCATTCTTAGTCAAGGAACTAGGGAAATACTTCATTTTTAACTCTTCACTCATTGCTAAGTCCCCACACTCTATCTCGATATCGAGCTACATGCTCGATAGTTGATTCACCAACCTCTCCAAAGAAATTTAGTGAATTTGGGTATTTTGTATCCTCGAGGCAATTCTCGTCTCGAGAATCGCATTTGGAAAAGGAGACACAAAATATGTCCGATTGGGTGGTCTTACATCCGTCCCTTGGAAATTCATCCTTTGTCCTAACATGTGATTATATTGCATATTATTCTGATTATGAATATTTTGAAATCCCTCATTCAGCATTTCCGTAAATATCATTCCTCACATATTGATATTCGTTCCCCATTTGCCGATATTGATCATTGTTCCGATTCCTTCTTAATAAATAAGGGGGATTAATATTCTGATTGGCATGATTCTCAATCCTCGTTTGTCGAGGTATAGCCAATGCGTCTCCAATTCGAGACATTTGATCCGCTAATATCTCGAAACTAGCAAGTAGTATTTTGAACTAATGGGTTTAAGACCGTAGTCAACTCGCCGTGATAACATATTCACCATTTCAAAATTACTCTCATCCATTTGTTGTCTAAGTATTCCTAGGGAGTTGCTGGAAATCCCCGTATTAGTATTTTCAATATTCTCGAAATTAGATCGATGATAGTCCCTATCAAATGCATATCTCCCATGATCGAGATTCCCCTAGGATCTAGATTCTGAGGTGTCTCGTTGTATCCCTAAGTTTGGTCCATTCCCCGAATTTTGTGATGTCGCCGAATTTTGAGATGCTCCTAAATGTGTAGATACTCCAAAGTTTTCGTGGCATGCCTAGTGGTTTGAAATGTACCTACGTTTGGAGGCATTCCTAAGCCGAATCGTGAATTTCTATGTATCGATGAAGTGCCGCTCCATTCATGTTATTGGATAAGAAACCAGGTGGTCTTACACTAGTATATGGCCCCGCATATGTGGTTATGGGGTTTCCCATAGTTTGCATATTATTTGATATTGCTATACTAGCTCCTACATGGGTGTTTGCCAATGGACCTGGATTTTGTTCATTACTTATTGGTATCGACGTGCTCACAGCTTGTCGACACTACCAGTATACTCCCATTATGCCCTTGCCCTTGCCCCCGCATTTGGTGGGAGCACACCACTTAGACCCTCATCGTTATTCCGACTACTTGAGGAATTCTCGACTCATTCTTATAACTCTCCCACTTCTTAATCTCATACACTCTCGAACTAACCTCTTTTGTGTTTTTTCAACACAAGTCCCCTACTCCGGCGCGCCAATTTGTTTCTGGTGGAATTTCGATCGATTTCGATTCTAAGGGTGTTTTGGTCCTAATCAAAATTCTACCACGTAAGTTCTTTTTACTTAGGCTAGCAATTTGATTTTCAATCGAAAACGCGTATGAGAATTGAAAACTACAGGATATCGAAAATGTGGTTTTTGGTATTTTATGTCTAAAACGCTCGACTCAAACAAAACAGTAAAGTATCGAATCGAGCAAAGAGAATATTAAATTGCAAGAAAGTGCGAAAACCCCGAATTTGCAAGAAATTAAGTTTGCGAGATAAATAAAGGACAGGAAATCGAAATGTGCGGAAATGTAAATTGCTAAAACCCATTAAAATTGCACGTAAAGTAAATAACATGAAATCGAAATGTGCGGAAAATGTAAATTGCTAAAACCCATTAAAATTGCACAGTAAAGTAAATAACAGAAATCGAAATGTGCGAAAATGTAAATTGACTAAAACCCATTAAAATTGCACAGAAAGTAAATAACAGGAACTCGAAATGTGCGAGAAATGTAAATGACTAAAACCCATTAAAATTGCACAGAAAGTAAATAACAGGAACTCGAAATGTGCGAGAAATGTAAATGACTAAAACCCATTAAAATTGCACAGAAAGTAAATAACAGGAAATCGAAATGACATTGAATGAAATATACAAGAATATGAAATTGCTGAATTGGAATGGCTCGAAAGTAAATTACCAAGGAAAATAAAGAAAGCGATAAATGTACTCCGTGAGCAGGGAAATCCAGATTGCCAGAAGCTTCATGGTGTTCGTCGTTTCTCCGGTAGACTTTTCACTACTGATTCTGTTCTCTGCCAATTTCTGCTCCCTTGTTCCTTCCTCCTTTGCTCTATTTATAGGGCATCCTTCAAGCCTTCCGAGAGCAGTTAACGCACTGCTACCACGTTCTTCGTGCGTATGACAGCTTTCTTTTACAGCTTTTCCCATGTTCTCACGATCTTCAACTTTTCCATCACTTAGAAACCGCTTCAAGACGTGCGTTTTGACTACTTTCTTTCAAGGTTTAGCCAAGGTTATGATATCTACGAAAACGAGCCTTCCCTTTGATTTAATCGAGAACTTTGCATACCTGGTATCGATTTATTTTAACCTTAACTCCATGTTAAGCTTTTCGACTATTACGCCTACTCTTCCAATTTTACCTTTCGATTTTATGTGTCACGTTCTTTATAATCTGACATCGAGAAAGTTCCCTTTCGATTCATTTCTCGATCGACTTCTCGATTCCACACTATGACTTAGTCTTTATTTGGCAACATACTCGCTCATTTCTCGATCAGTGCTTCTCGATGTTATATGCTACGTGTTTCAATTTGGACATCGAATGAATATTTGTTTATCTTATCGAGTCATATTTCTTTTCCCTTCGATTCCGATTGTGTTTCTCGATTTGCTACTAACAGTTAGAAATAAAACTATGATAAAAAACTTACGAACACTATTTTAATAAAAAATACTACAAGAAATAGATTTTTGACAATATGCATTATTACATCGAGAAATATTTGATAAAATTAGAAATAATGAAAAAATGTGTTTATGTTGATAAAAGTGATCGTAAAATATTAGATATGATAATATTTGATTAGTAAAATTATAGTTTAAAATATAATAAGTTGGTAAAATGATATGTTTTTAGCCGTAATTAAAGAATGGGAAAGTAGAAAAGAGGTGACTCACATCAATCAAAATCAATTAATGGGAATTTGGTCCGGCAAGAATCCGTGTGAATTTCCCCTTGCCCCGAAGGCATCTGTGTAAATAATGACCACCGCTCTGTCACTTATTAATGGACTCTGTCTGCTTCTTGCTTCCTCGGTTTTCAATTTACTATTACCTCATGCTTCTTTGCGTGTTTACTCCCTCCACAACGCACAAATTATTACCCTTTCATACCAAACCACCTTTGACCATGTGCCTCTCTCCTCCCACTTCTTTCTTTTACACTAAACACGTGCTATTCTGTTTCGACTTCTATTGCAAACCACTCACACCCACCATATTACAACTTCTAGACCTCCACCTATAATTACGCAAACATTTAATTCAACCTTTCTTAATGCTAGCTACCCAAACCCCCCCTATGTGCTTTTTTTTTTTTCTCACTTTCTCACCTCACCTGCTCTCTCACTTGTCAATATTTTTTATCCATAGATTTATTTTAAATGAAATTGTTAGTTTTAAATATATAAACTAATGTATTTGCCTCTTGGTATGCTTCGTTCAGGATTGTCTTGGAATAAAATATCTCACAAGAATACTTAACAGAATGCCTTGGAATAGTTAATGTACACGTTTGTAAAATAGAGTGATATAAAGTATGTAGGGCAGTTAGAAAATAGAGTGTGAGTAAAATTACGGTAAAAGAAAAAAGGGAATATAAGATGCAGGAGGTGGGAAGGAAGGAAGGAAAGGAGAAAGTGGCTAGGAGGTGGTTAGCACAAGATGAGTAATTAAGTTAATTAGATTTGGAGCTTAAAGAATAAGCATGTATGGGAGAGTTGGAAAGAAGGGAGAACAATATAATACTAATAACAGGAAAGGGGAGTGATTAAGAAAAAGTGGAGTTTGAATAAAGAAATGGAATGAAAGTGAGGGAGTAGGAAGTGGATGTAAATTAGGGTATAAACGTGGAAAGAGTGAGTGAGGAGAAGGAAGAGGCGTTGAAGGATGAGAGGGCGCGTGTGGTGTGTGGTTTGGAATAATTAGCCGCCGCAGATTGAATTGTCTTGGTCCATGTCATTGCGGGAGGGAGCGAGCGAGCGTTTCCCATGCCCATAAAACAATAGCAGCCAGCCAGCAGCACCCTCTTTCTTTTCAAATCCACACTCATCACATTCATTCATTCATTCATTCCAAAATCAAATAATAATTAATTTAAAATCCCTTTTATTCTCATCAGATATAGATCCAACTATCAAGTCACGCGGCGAGACAGAAGATTCCGCCGACAACTTTTCTACTTACTGCTACACTATCCATCCATCCCTATCCCTTCCATTCCCCCACACAATTTTTATTTTATTAAATCAAATTAAATGTCTTCCACTCTCACAAATCAAGGGAATTCATTATTATTCCATATAAAAATAAAAGCTGCCCATATTCCGACAAATCACCACCTAACGACCCCAAACTCCACTTTATCTCCGCAAATAAAAAGGTAACCACAAAATAAATACTTAGAAATAAAAAAAATTAATTGATTAATATTAAAGAGAGAGAAGAGGCGCGTGTGAGAGGGGTGTCCGGAGGCGTAGGATAAGTGGGGTGGATGATGTGATGATGAGACGAAACCAACTGCTTTGTCTGCTGTCTGTCAGGACAACCCACATGCCACGTAATTCGGAGACTACAATGGTAATTTCCGTTTTCCCACACCACAGTCAAATTCATCGTTGACTCTCTCTCTCATGGGATTCATCATCCATCATGCATGGCCCATCCATCCCATCCCATCTATAAAAAACGTACCTGCTCCCTCCCACTCTATGCTCTTCCTTTCCTCTCTTTCCTCTCACTCTCCAACAAAACCATAAATAAATTCAATCAATATTTTCTTTAGTAAATAAAGATTATGGCGCCCAGGGATAAGGCCTCTGCCGTTAAGGTTAACGCCAACGCTAACGGGAACGCCGGCCTCAAGGAGGTGCATTTTCGGGGAGTCAGGAAGAGGCCCTGGGGAAGATATGCCGCCGAGATCAGAGATCCCGGCAAGAAGAGCCGCGTTTGGCTCGGCACCTTCGACACCGCCGAGGAGGCCGCTCGTGCGTACGACACCGCCGCTCGCGAGTTTCGCGGCCCCAAGGCCAAGACCAATTTCCCTCTTCCATCCGATAACAATGTCAAGAACGCTAGCCCTAGCCAGAGCAGTACCGTCGAATCCTCCAGCCGCGACCGCGACCTCGCCGCCGATTCCTCCCCGCTCGACCTCAACCTCGTCCCCACCGCCGTCTCCACCGCCCGTTTTCCCTTCCAGCACCAGTTCCCCGTTTTTCCGGCGGCCGCCAACCAGGTTTTGTACCTCGACGCTGTCCTACGCGCCGGTATGGGCGGTCCACGTGGCTTTGGGTTTGGCTACAATCAGCATCCCGTTGCCGCGAGTGAGCTCCACGCGACGGCGAGCGACTCGGACTCGTCCTCCGTGATCGATCTGAATCACAACGAAGGCGATGTCAAGGGGAACGGCTCTAGAATCTTCGATCTCGACCTTAACCATCCTCCTCCGCAGGAGATGGCTTGATCCGGAATCTGTCTTCTCACCCCTTGAGTTTTTTTTTTTTTTTTTTCATTTTCGGATTATGAATTTCTCTTTAGTTTTTTTATAAGTAGAGAAAATAGCAGCGTCCGATAACCTAAAATAACACGAAGGAAAGGGAAAGGAATAGTTCTATGTGAATACGTAGGCGATATGATTGTCTCTATTTTTTGCGACAGAAGAACCGAATCATCGGTTTGATGCTGTTGTTTCTTAAAATGAGGAAACGGTTATTATTTTGGTTTTGATTAGTAGTTCGTAGTATTATGTAAGGTGTAATGTTCTGGGTTGAATGAATTTAACAGGAAAAGTTTTGATTGTTGTGTAGATTTAGAATTGTTGTTTTAATTTAAACATCGATACGCAATGTTGGTGAGGGAATGCGATAGGGAATAGAATATGAATATGAACATGAATGATGATGGCAATGGGGGGAAAGAAAAGATGTGGGTGAAGCGTACTTGGCAGCACTGGTCCTTGTTGCGGGCGTTGATTGATTGCCCCGCCGCCACGTGACAGGTGGCTCTTGTTCCCTCTTCATAAGTTTAGGCTCACTCCAACGCCAAAGTGTCCCTGGTGCGTGGGGTATACTCCATCATCACACCACACGTGTCACACTCCCACACCCTCATTTCCCACCCATCTTCCAAATTCCTCGTTGCGACTAACCATCCAATTATTCATACCCCGTTAAAATCATCAAAATACAATTTCTTTTGCTAATCTTTCTTTCCTTAAAACTGTCATCTGTTTTCATTCTTTTCATTTCTTCAAAGATGCGAGTGATTCCATATGACGGAATAAATTTTGCGTTTCTTCCTAAATAGAAATTCATGTGTTGTACCGGACCGACTTTCTTCATTTCACAGAATCTCGAGGAGTCACGCAATTTTTCTCCTTTTCTGGGACAAACATATCTCGTTTTAATGAAGTTCACTAATTATGTATTATACTAAAAAAACTCAACAGAGAGAAATATTATAAATAATGAAAATAACTTTATGATATAAAAAAATTGCTTAATAATAATAACACTAAATATGTAACAGAAAAAAATAACAAACTATTAATATTTAAATTAATTAAATTCATAATTATATCATCTATAATATTTGTCAAATATTTTTTATTAAATGATGAATTATATAATATAGGTCAATTTTTAGATAATATTTAGGAATATTTTTCTCCATATATTAATTAATCTCATACAGTTTATTGTCAGAAATTACAGTAATTTATCTAGTGACGAATAGTATAAGGTTGGATATTGTTATTGGTAGACGAAAATATTCCTATACGAAATAGACAAAATAATATACACAAGTAACCTTAAAATTAAGAAATTGATAAAACAAGGAGAGAAACAATAACAAGTAGAACTAGAACCTACTCTAAAGAAAATGAGAAACAATTTACCTTCCGTTGGATCACTTCTAAAATCAAGTAATTAGTCAACTACGCGCACACAAACTAAGTAATTAGTATTGTGAATTACACATATGAAAGACAACTGTAATAAGATGCACAAGCTCACGATGAAAAACCACCTAATACAATTCTACTAAATTTTAACTTCACTTTGGAGTCTACATCCATCATCCAATGGCACGTTACAAAAGAAGCTTTGGTGGAATCTTCTGCAATCGACCCCTGACGCAGTTCATTCCCAATAAAAAGCATTATCAATAAATAGAATTTCCCTTTACGATATATGATAGCTTTCAATTGTTTTTGTCAAATTTAAATAAAAATATTTCGAAAGTTTTACAATTATATGTTTTATCCATATAAAGATATGTGCACTTTCATGTGAGGTGAAGTTGTCCAAGTAATTGGAATTTTATTATATCTTTGAAGGCACGTTGGAGTTTAAATATTTTCAAACACAGCATGTGAGTTGAGGTTGATTAGATGACTTTGCGGCTGCAACGAATGATTAAACGTTAGTTGATTCCACAAAGGACGAAGATTCCTCGCCAAACCCACGCATGAAAAGAGTGCAACCATAATAACACGGTTATATATACATATATATCAATATTCGATACGCAACCCATTCTTTAATGGACATCTAAAACAAAAATAATTATTCATTAGAAAACATCTACTTATAATGTCTACATTTTAAACACGACTACTTCTCATGAAGTATAATTGCGCATAACAACATATGATTAACCCATTTATGGGGGGAGTGTATCTTTGCCATGTTTTCGTTCATTGAATCCTAATTTCTACTTTTCTTTCTTTTCAAATAACCATTTTTATTCGATGGAGTTCAACATTATTGATCTATTTACAGTAAATTAATTTTTAGTTTTGTTTATGTCAAAACTTTGTTTTTTCTTTTTTATGTTTTTGTATAAGTGTATTAAATAACTTGAAAAGTGAAAATTAAAATTAAAGTATATTTACGCTATAATAATGCAATTATGTATTTGAGATATGTATGAAATGCATGTAGGTTAGTTTTGGAGTATATACTTTAGTGTTATGATTGTTTCAAGTTGACAAAAGGAAATAGAACAAAGGGAGGGTTGAGTTTAGAAAAATACAAGTGGTGCCGCTAGCATTCTAAATCTCCTTAATTAATTTCTCAACTCATAACCATTATTCATTCTTCTTCGTTTTTATATTTTAATCATCCTTCTTTCTTTTTATGCAAATTCAAAACTCAAATTATCTTCTCCCTTCCTTTGCTTTCCGAAGTTTGACCTACAAGCTGCCCAAGAGATAGTGTAGAACATCAATTTTAAATGTATTTCTTCAATAAGTTCTTTATTCTGTAATTTTCATTCTTCTTCATCTTCTATCCTTCCATGCATGCTATAAGATTATAGAGGGGTTTAAGTTTTGAGCTTGGCCTTAGAGTTTCGATTATTAGGCTTGACTCTTTGAGGTAACCAACCAGCTTTTGGATGTTTTCCTTTATCATCTTCTTCCATTATAAGTTTTCTTAAGAAAAGATTAAAAAAAAAACTCATTTTACGTTGAAATCCCATGAAATTATATTTAATACTTTGATAATGTGTGGGGTTTTGGATGATGATATTATAATCAATTTGGTGTTTTGATGAATGGTACAAATTTAGGTAATGTTATTTGATTGATGAATTATAATTAAATTGAGTCTTGAATGAGTTTTGTGCCTTTTTTTTTTTTTTTAGATTGTATGATTTTTTAAATAAAATTTGTGAATATTGAATAAATGGATTATATATAGTTTTAAAATTTAGGGTAAAGTTTATTAGCATTAGTTTTGAGATTAAATAGTTGAAAACTTTGGGGTTGGTGTTGATGAGTACGTAAAAAATTACATTAATATCATAATTATCACATGATAGCTTGATGATCAATTATAATAAAAGATATGTTAAATGTTAATTCAAGATATTCAAATTTAATAGAAAACTTCAGTAGTTTTGAATCTTATAATTGTTTGTGCCATTATTTGTATATAGTGTAAAGTAAACACCAATATTATGAAATATTTTCTCTATCACTTATATATGTTTTACTACTTAATTCATATAAAGATTTGTTCTGTGTTTGTTATTTAAGATGTGAAGATAATATTTTGAAAAAAAAAAAAAACAATATGATAGTGAAAGCATGAATTATGAATATAAGAGGAAATTCATGATATTTAAATTGGCAAATCTTGTTTTCAACTTTTATTTCGTGAATATAGTTTTTTATATGTATTATTTTTAAGGACCAACTTAAAGTGCTATGTCTTAAATCTTCGAAGTATTGTATAGTTTAATTATATTTACATCAGCTTTTATATGTGTAAAGTAAATAATTATCACGTTATGTGTTTATTTAGTTTTAAACTAGCACGCATTGAAAATAATGAATTTTATTACGAAACAGAATCGTTTAGCTTAACGGCTAAACCAAATTGGAGATGAAGTTTGAAATCATAGAGAGAATAAAAAAAATACTATGAACCTTCGTAATTATGCACCTGCCGACTCGTACGAGAGAGATTCACATATGAAACACGTAAGCGTGGTTCACGATAGGTTTGGTCCTAACCAAACATTTTATTTCTGGATTCACTTTGAGTTTTCTTAGTCGAGTCATGAGTGTGGTCCCGTGGGGCTCACCCTACCCTATACCAACCCTCATAACTTGTTCAGAAGAATTCAAATGTTGCAATCACCGGCCATTCTGCACCATTTTTATAATCTAAAAAAAAAATGCAGTCAAGTCTCCGCAATCATCAGCTTTTCTTCATTAAAGATCATTAAAACTAATCTTATTAAGAAAGGTTAGTGTTTCAGCATAGGATTTTCTTTAAATTTTCAAATGACCTAATCAAATATTTAATTATATGCTTAAATAATTTAATCATCTACCAGCTGCTGTTATGACTTTGAAAGGGTTGCGATTGTGTGAATCAGACAGCCCCTCCAAACAAATAAGAATAATGATAGTTTATTTCTATGCATTTATTCACCTTTTGAAAGCAATTGATGCATGCATGGCATGGGATGACATGAACATGTCATATGTAACCTTTCCCTTCAAACAAAATTAAATATGATGACATCAACATGGCATGCCTCTACACACTTTCTTCCCATCCAAAAACACTTTTTCATAAAAGGGAAAAATATCAAATGATTAAAATATGATAAAGCTGAGCAAAGTATTTTATAAACCCACGACGAGGAACAGGAAAATTGAAATCAAAGTATTAGCCAAGAGAAATGTTAGTTTAGTGCATAGTTGATATTGGTGACATGTGCCTCACAAAATTCAAAGATGAAAACTAGTTTATTTATGTTATCTTTTTATATTAATGTAAAAACAATTGCACCATAAACTAATTAGAAATTATTTTGCATATAATAGAATCATTTATAAATTTATGAAATCGTAAAAGATATTTATACTATCATTATAATGAAATTAAATAATGGATGGGCTAAAATTAGCTTTGAAATTCCAATAATGTTGATAAAACTGGAAGA